TACATTTGTACTGCTTGCCTCTAGTCTGGAATTGTATGAGCGAGTTCATTGTGTACATATGTACTGGGTTAAGAAGGAACTGAGAAAGGTCAAGCAGGTACTGCAGGAACACATAGGCTTTTAGAAAGTTTTTTTGGTAGATTGATTTTTTTTGACATTTTATTTTAAATGTTAGTACAGCACAAAAAAAAGTTTTAAATAACGCGATCTAGAATATAACATTTAACATAGATATAGATTTGAATTGAACATGATTTACAAATAAAGAGAAGAATTGTCTAGATTTAACGAAAATGATTTAAGAATTATTTAGAAAATCTGACTGATTAACTAGAGATCTTGTTGTTCTCATATAAATCTGATAAAAATGCTTTTCAAAAGTTTTCTTTGCGATCTAAAAAAAATTCTCAAGAAACTCTATTGTTTTAGCATTTTGCCGACCGATTTTAAATCATTTTATCATCCCCCACCCCTTCCAAAACAAAAAAATGAAGAATTAAATGCCAGAAAAAAATGCCAAATGGGCTCACGGTGGGAGAATCTAAAATAGACGGATTTATTTTCTCCTTTTCATAATTGAAAAATAATGTTTAAGTTACAATTTAAAAATCTTCACTCCTTCTCTATCTTCTTGTATCTGTATTATCTATGATATATATAAATATAAAGTAGTCTGCTTGTCTGTCTATCTTCTTGTATCTGTATTATCTATGATATATATAAATATAAAGTAGCCTGCTTGTCTGTCTATCTTCTTGTATCTGTATTATNATTGCGCAAAACTTGAGTTTCGCAAAAGCGGAATAGGGCAATTTTGCGCGAAATGACTTTTGCGAATGATTGCGCAAATTGTTGTTTTTTCGCGCAAAACTGATGCGCAAAGAAAGAAAAATTTTGCGTTTCTTTCCGCAAAAATTGCGCAAAAGTTTTGCGAATGGAAACCCTATGTATTATCTATGATATATATAAATATAAAGTAGTCTGCTTGTCTGTCTGATAAACACTGAGCAACCTCTTGACAGATTTGCCTCAAATTTTGGTTAAGGAACTCGGTAGAAGTTATTACAACACTGTTAGAAAAAAAATAGCTTGAAGCAAGTTAATGTTTTTTTAACAGTGCACAGGGCACAGGAAGGTTTTAGCATGGTTTAAGAATTCTAAATTGAGTGGATCTTTCTGTTAGTTTGGATGTACCATCATAAATCAATTTACCTTAACCCTATAAAGGCTGGGGGGGGGGGGGCGGTTGTCTTAATCTCTGTGTAGACGTCCCATGCCCCCCCCCCTAAATTTAAGTCGCGGCTCAAATTTCTTTAAATTCTGTCTCAGGCTGTTGCTCTTAGTAATTAGTAGACTACTATAGAGAAAAGTATAATGCGTTTAATTTTCTATTCTGAACCAATAGAAACAGTATGGCGGTTACATCTATCTTTATATCTATCTCATTATCCAATCAGAGTTATGAATCCTTCAATCGGCACTATCAGTAAATGGAAAAATATTTACTTCTACTGAAAATATAGTGACTGGCTGGATTTTTTCTTCAATTATGATCAAGAAGAAACACATTCCACTAATTGGGAGAACCTAAGTATAACTGTGCCATACACATTCGTTACTCTTAATTTTTCCTTATTTAATTGGTAAAATAGGCTACGGTTTTTTTGTTATTTATTTTAGCCGGAGATAGTCTGACATTTTTTAATCCTAGGACAAACTTGCGGAGTAATGTTAATCCAACCTTTCAAATCCGCCATTTCTTCAGGATTATCAAAACAGCGTTAAAAAAAAACCGAGGGGAGGGGGAAGGGGGGGGGTGTAATTTTGTGGGTAGAGTAACTCTATGCTGTAGTTCTCTATAGAATACCAGTGATTCATCACAAAATTAGAATTAACAATAAACTTTTTTCAAGTTTTTTTTTTTAACGAGTACGATCCAAAATTCTTACGAAGATGATAAATTGTTCAGTTTTTTTTTGCAAATGTCAGTAAGATAACAAAAGCTTTAAAATCAAGTAACTATTTCTTAGAAAATAAATTACATACTTCATGGTGCATTTATATCATACATATTTTACATATGAATGTAATACTTTCTTCAGAATTTCAGTAGAGAATCTTATCATAAGAAGTGTACTGTTATAATCAATAATACTGGTATGAAAGGCCTTTTTACATGTATTGCTAATTTGCTATGAACTAATGTATACCATCATACAATTATATGTTAAAATTATACAATTTTTTATTTGTGTATATTTAGACGTAAGGACATTTCACTAGCGTCACGTATAGCGGTGATATAAAGCTCTTTTTTTATTGTTATCTAACTGGATTATAGTATTAACACGGGATAAACATTGATTTGTTTGTCTTCATTAAAGTTTCTATCTTTAGTTAGGAAGGATTTCCTGAAAATAGCGTCAGTATATTTTAACTGTATTGGAGTAAGGATAAGACACATAGATCCAGACTGGGTTGACTTTGTCTTACTCACGTATACTTTATGTAGACCTAGACCTGTACATTTTAGAACGAAAAAGCACCTGTTCGTAGCTTAAGTTTTAAAAAGGAATTGTCAAAAGTCTCATAGTAGGAGCTTGGAACCTTTGAATCGCTGTGAAGAGTATTCTAGTCTATGTATTGTATTGTATACATAAAACCAAGGAAGCATCAATGCTGGAGTAGAGTGAAAATGGTGAAAATAACACGAAATCGAATGATTCGGAGAAAGGTTCAATATTTTCAATTTTAAAGGGAGTGTTCGTTTGATTAAAGGGGGGGGGGTTATGACTGGCCTTGATAAAAATCGCTAGCGATTCTAAAAAAGGATATACTCTCAAAAATAAGGGAAGATTTTTTTTAAAACTATTATAAACACTTTTTTAAATTTTGCGTGAAGAAATTCCTGATAAAATTATCTTTTCAACGTTCGTGAAAAACCTGTTTGTTAAGTGCAGAAGGGATTGAAAATATTCATCAGTTCCTAAGATCAAGTCAGCTTGGGAAGGGTTTTCCCATACCAACTTTTACTTGACAGAAGCCCTAGACATGAACATTTTAAAACTTTAGGCCGCGAGTTTTTAGCTTGAGTTTATTAATTGACAAAATTCTAATTTTTGTGTAAGAGCTTGTTAAGAAGAAGTAGTTTAATAAAGGAGTAATTTGTAGGAATCAAAGAACAAATGAGAAAAAAATCTTAAAAGAGTTTGAAATTTTTTTTGTGCTTGGGTCAAATTTTACAGATCGAGTTTGCTAAGGAACATCTGAATTCATCATTCAATATGAGATTCCTTTAAATATTGAAGGTTTAATGTTTTCTGAAACACACTGCACCTTCTGAACCCTTATCCAACCTGAGTTCTTTTTATTCATTGAAGGTTTAATGTTTTTTGAAACACACTACACCTTCTGAACCTTAATCCAACCTGAGTTCTTTTATACATTGAAGGCTTAATGTTTTCTGAAACACACTGCATCTCATGAACCCTAATCCAACCTGATTTCTTTTATACATTGAAGGTTTAATGTTTTCTGAAACACACTGCATCTCATGAACCCTAATCCAACCTAAGTTCTTTTATACATTGAAGGTTTAATGTTTTCTGAAACACACTGCATCTCATGAACCCTATTCCAACCTGAGTTCTTTTTATACATTTATGGTTTAATGTTTTCTGAAACACACTGCATCTCATGAACCCTAATCCAACCTAAGTTCTTTTATACATTGAAGGTTTAATGTTTTCTGAAACATACTGCATCTCATGAACCCTATTCCAACCTGAGTTCTTTTTATACATTTATGGTTTAATGTTTTCTGAAACACACTGCATCTCATGAACCCTAATCCAACCTAAGTTCTTTTATACATTGAAGGTTTAATGTTTTCTGAAACATACTGCAACTTATGAACCCTAATCCAACCTGGGTTCTTTTATACATTAAGGTTCAATGTTTTCTGAAACACACTGCATCTCATGAACCATAATCCAACCTGAGTTTACTTCTCTGTTAAATCTAGGTTTATTCTTCTAGGTTTAGCATCTACCGGAGATCTTATGACGTCATCGTGACGTAAACTGTCCCGACCTTCCCAATTCCGCAGAACTTACTTGTTAAGATATATATATATATGGGAGGATACTATAAATCCATGCTGCGTCAACACAGTTGGTTACCCACTACCCAGGCTAGGAAGGGCCTTTCATCTTTCAAATATATTTTTTAAATCTTCGAGAGAAAAAAATGTACTGTTTTTTTCTGCGAAAGTTCCTTGCCAAAAAAAGCGATAAAAAATTTAGACATTTTTTCCCCCAAACATTACATTTTTTCCCCCATTTTCATTTTAAAAGATGGTTAAAATAGAAATGAAGATTAAAGCCAAAATGTATATATCTTATATTTTATAAAAATTTTAATCTCATGTTTCTGGGTCACCATAATGGCATTCTTAAAATACTTAATTTAAAAAAATATGTTATCAAAATGTAAAACCTGAAAAGTGTGTTGTAAAAGAGAATCTATAAAAAAGTATGTTATCAAGATATAAAATTTGAAAAGTGTGTTGTAAAAGAGAATCTTGAAAAGTGTGTTGTAAAAGAGAATCTATAAAAAAGTATGTTATCAAGATGTAAAACCTGAAAAGTGTGTTGTAAAAGAGAATCCATAAAAAAAAACTAAGTTAAAAAAGGTTCTCAACTCCATCTCTATTTGGTAATTGAGGAAGAATAAACATATCTCAAGAATATTAGGTTTCAAACTAGGAAGCTTGAAGAAAATGCAAAAATGGACAGTATAAAAAGTAGGCCATGGTTTAGACTTAGAGTGTTATTTTAAATGTTTAAAAACTAGCTTTAGGTTCAATCATTTTTAAAAGATTATTTTTAACATTGAGACGATCTAGAATTAACAATAAAAAAACGTTAACAAATTCAATATCCATGTTAATATTTGTAGGAATATAATATTTTTGTTTTAATCTTTTTTTCTTGTTTTAGTTTAAACGGATGCTGAACAAAGAACTCAGTCACTTCTCCGAGTCTAAATCCGGAAACCAGATATCTGAATATATCTGTAGCACCTTCTTAGGTAACATTTAGTAACATTTTGTAACATCTTAGGTAACATTTAGTAACATTTTGTAACATCTTAGGTAATATTTAGTAACATTTTGTAACACCACCTTGGTAATATTTAGTAAAACCTTCTTGGTAATATTTAGTAATATTTTGTAATTATTTCTTAGGTAACATTTCGTAACATTTTTAAAACCTTCCTAGGTAACATTTAGTAACCTTATGTAAAATCTTCTTAGGTAATATTTAGTAAAATTTTGTAACACCTTCTTCGGTAACATTTAGTACCATTTTGTAACACCTTCTTAGGTGACATTTAGTAAATATTTGTGAAACCTTCTTGGTAATATTGGTAACGTGTTTTCAATTTGTACCACTTTATCTACTTGTAACACCTTCATTTATAAATTCATATACTTTTTAACTCCATCATATATAACATCTTCTTTGAAATTTATTTTATTTTTTATTTTTTGTTTGTAATATTTATTCATTTCTGCCGACACATTAATTTAATCCGTGTTACTTATGGTAACAGTGACATTCAACAATTTAAATGGTTTTTATTATTTCTTGTGTAATATTTTAGTAAATATGAAACTGATGCAATATTGGTTTTATCGTTCTTAGGTGAATCACTTTCTTGGGTAAAAATTTATTCTTTACCATTTTCTGAATTAGAGTGGAATTTTTCTAACTTTTGAACTTATTTATTGTTTAACAAATTTCTAGTGTTCTTTATAGAATTCCAGCGTCGTAAAATTTATATTTACTTAAGGTTTTATAATTTTATGTACAAAGGCTTGCAAAACTGTTTCATCAAAAATATTCTTATAGAGGAGTTCACAATGATTAGGAATAAAATATTCTTATAGAGGAGTTCACAATGATTAGGAATAAAATATTCTTATAGAGGAACAATGATTAGGAATAAAATATTATTATAAAGAAGTTCACAATGATTAGAAATAAAATATTCTTATAGAGGAGTTCACAATGATTAGGAATAAAATATTCTTATAGAGGAGTTCACAATGATTAGGAATAAAATATTATTATAAAGAAGTTCACAATGATTAGAAATGAAATATTATTAAAAAGGAGTTCACAATGATTAGGAATAAAATATTATTATAAAGGAGTTCACAATGATAAGGAATAGAATATTCTTATAAAGGATTTTACAATGATTAGGAATAAAATATTCTTATAAAGGAGTTCACAATGATTAGGAATAGAATATTCTTATAGAGGAGTTCACAATGATTAGGAATAAAATATTCTTATAGAGGAGTTCACAATGATTAGGAATAAAATATTCTTATAGAGGAGTTCACAATGATTAGAAATAAAATATTCTTATAGAGGAGTTCACAATGATTAGGAATAAAATATTATTATAAAGGAGTTCACAATGATTAGAAATAAAATATTATGAAGGGCTTCTAAACCTGAACAAGAAGTATTACAATTTTTCCCAAAATGTACCAGAAGTAATATTTTTCCAGAAACCAGAAATTAGATTTCTCTGGAAACCAGAAATTATATTTTTCCAGAAACAAGAAATTATATTTTTCTAGAAACCAGAAGTTATATTTCTACAGAAACCAGAAATTATATTTCCAGAGAAACCAGAAATTAAATCCTTCTTGAAACCAGAAATTATATTTTTCCATAAACCAGAAATTAAATCCTTCTTGAAACCAGAAATTATATCCTTCCTGAAACCAGAAATTTTATCCTTCCTGAAACCAGAAGTTATATCCTTCCTGAAACCAGAAATTATATCCTTCCTGAAACCAGAAATTTTATTTTTCCAGAAACCAGAAATTAAATCCTTCCTGAAACCAGAAATGATATCCTTCCTGAAACCAGAAATTATATCTTTCCTGAAACCAGAAATTATATTTTTCCAGAAACCAGAAATTTAATCCTTCCTGAAACCAGAAATTATATCCTTCCTGAAACCAGAAATTATATCCTTCCTGAAACCAAAAATTATATCCTTCCTGAAACCAGAAATTATATCCTTCCTGAAACCAGAAATTATATTTTTCCAGAAACCAGAAATTATATCCTTCCTGAAACCAGAAATTTTATCCTTCCTGAAACCAGAAATTATATCCTTCCTGAAACCAGAAATTAAATCCTTCTTGAAACCAGAAATTAAATCCTTCTTGAAACCAGAAATTATATCCTTCCTGAAACCAGAAATTTTATCCTTCCTGAAACCAGAAATTATATCCTTCCAGAAACCAGAAATTTTATCCTTCCTGAAACCAGAAATTTTATCCTTCCTGAAACCAGAATTTATATCCTTCCAGAAACCGAAACCAGTATTATTTTTCCTGAAACCAGAAATTATACCCTTCCTGAAACCAGAAATTTTATCCTTCCTGAAACCAGAAATTTTATCCTTCCTGAAACCAGAAATTTTATCCTTCCTGAAACCAGACATTATATCCTTCCAGAAACCAGAAATTATATCCTTCCAGAAACCGAAACCAGTATTATTTTTCCTGAAACCAGAAATTATATTTTATTCTGAAACCAGAGGTCACATTATTTAATAATAAAAACGTAATCCCAGTACAATACATTTAATAGGTTTAGGAGCAAAAATTGATCTGTATGTAAACATAAACTATATAATTTCTAATTTTTGCAAAAAAAATCTTTTGAATGAATATCAAAAATAAACAAAATCAACTTTTTGTTTGTCAAATGCTGGTATTCCTAATCTCGTAAATACGAAATTCCTAATCTCGTAAATACGAAATTCCTAATCTCGTAAATACGAAATTCCTAATCTCGTAAATAGGAAATTCCTAATCTCGTAAATACGAAATTCCTAATCTCGTAAATACGAAATTCCAAATCTCGTAAATGCGAAATTCCTAATCTCGTAAATGCGAAATTCCTAATCTCGTAAATACGAAATTCCAAATCTCGTAAATGCGAAATTCCTAATCTCGTAAATGCGAAAAATGACATAAAAGAATTTTTTGAAGCGATAGTTAATTAAAAATAATTGTTTTTGTTTAGATAAACAGCAAGAGGTTGATATCAACAATCTACGACTCTCTGAAGATGATAGTCATCAACGCAGTAAAGGGAATGGGCGGGGTAAGATAGCTCCACCCCTGTCCCAGATATCTGGAGTTAAAAAACCCTTGGGACACACAAACAGCTTTAGCGGTAGTAAACTTCCTGAGTACGGAGTAGAGAGTAAACATCCAGAGGACCTTGCACAGGTACAGTGCAGAACATTGCAGTACAGTACAGTACAGTACAGTACAGTACAGTACAGTACAGTACAGTACAGTACAGTACAGTACAGTACAGTACAGTACAGTATTTACTTGAGTTATGTCAAGGATATCCAAATATTTCCCAAAATTTATAAATGCATATTTTGATTAATTTTTGATTAGATTATGTCAAGTGATTATTGCTGTCATGCACTAACGTTATTCACTTTATCTTGCCGCGTACAAGCTTTCTCAAAATGTATCCCTCCGGCTTAAAGGGAATGTGAACGTAATTCAAAGTGACTCTTTAAAGTAATAGTGGCATCAAATATTCACTACACGGTACCCTTCAAAATGATAGCGGAGAACTTGCAATTTTAATTTTGATAATCATTATACATTTTGCTTCAGTAGAAATTTGCAAAATGTTTCTGTAGATTAACCACAGTTAAAAGCAATTAGTTTTTAAAATCATAAAGATTTATTTCTATTTCATACGCTTTTAAGGATACCGTTGTGAATCGGACATTATCATATTTTCATGGAGGGTCACTTGAAATTACGCTTACAGTCTCTTTAAGAATTTTCTTTAAACAAAATATAACATTTTTCCTCCAAATTTAGAAATTAGTATATTTTTAGAAAATGTTTAATTTGTTTGAATCTTATTAACACCTTTAAGTGTTTTTCTTCATTTTTACAAAGTTGTCAAATCATTTTAATACATTTTTATCACTGTTTAATTTTTAGGAAAAATCTATATTATTTTATTTTTAAAACAATGTGCTATCGGATTCAAAGGTTCTTGAATCATGACACCAGATTTTTGGGTATAGGTGGCATCTTAATAGCTCGCACCAGTTTAATGACAAGCTCTTAATGTTAATAAACCGTTTTTTGCATATTCTTCTATTCTTTTTAACTTGATATATTGTACAATATCATAATTTACAAAAAATATCGTTTTATTTCTAACCCCCTCCCCCCCTACCTATAATAAGTTGATTGTATTCAGGAACGTGAGCTGATGAAAACCTTCAAGATCCCGGGGAAGGTTTTCATCAACTTCCTGCAGACCCTGGAGGACCACTACATCAGGAAAATATTCAAATCAATCCTTAGTTTACAACAAAAATGTGTAAAGGAATTAAAACTTTGTCAGAAACTTTCCAATCCTTCAAATATTGCACCACAATGTCGTAGACCTTGGATATTTCAAACTACAAACTGTTAGCTTAAATAATGAAAATTTGAAATATCAAAGGTTGACAGGCCATCAGATTGCGAGGATATAGAGATTAGAAAAGTTTATGACAAAACCTCGATTTATTTTCTTACCAAGTTCTTCAACTGTTAAATAATTTTAATATAGTAGGACACTATCTAACCAAGTTCTTCAACTGTTAATAATTTTAATATAGTAGGACACTATCTAACCAAGTTCTTCAACTGTTAGATAATTTTAATATAGTAGGACACTATCTAACCAAGTTCTTCAACTGTTAGATAATTTTAATATAGTAGGACACTATCGCCAAAAACTACGAGTAAAAGAAATTTTCAGTTATTTCATTTTATTTAAAATATTAAATCATCAACTTTTTTATTTCTGTAATCTGTTTATGCTTAAAAAGTAAGATTTAAATTAGAGGTGTACCAAGGGAGGAAGGGGGGGGGGTCTGTACGCCCCTTATTTAAATATATGCAACATTTTTAAAGTAAGTTTTCTTTAAGAACTATCCTGCTCTCATTTATCAGAGATGCGTGCTTTCCAAGCTTTCAATCATTGTATTTTTGTTTTATTTTACGAATTTAAATTTGATAAAAGATTGTTTGAAAATAATTGTATATAGGGATGTTCCATATCACAATAGCATACATGCTGCTGACGTCACACAATCTACCCATGTTCTTCTAAACTCACCAGCTCTGGAGGTAGGTCATCTTAGCTAGCAACCTAACCATGTTCTCTCATTGGTTCAGTTACTAGAATTCAACCAATAACAGTTCTGGAATTTTTTCAAGTTCGACCAATCAGAGATCAGAATTTATTAATGCTGCTAAGGAATTCAGTTTTTGCCACATACTCTAATTTTCTAATCCCTATATCTTTGCAACCAATGTCCAAATACCTTAGATATTTCAAACTAAGATTTTTTTTGTATCAAATGAATTGAATTTGAAATATCAAAGTTTGCAAAGATATAAGGATTAACAAATTTGAGTTTGTGGCAAAGACTCAATTTCTTTTCAAATTCGACCAATCAGGAAACAGAATTAATAGGTTCTGCCAATAGGAAACAAACCTAATTACAGTGAAATCCTGAATTAACACTTATGAGATAAGAGAGCAAATTTGAACCTTCTAACCTCTACCTTTATTTTGTTAAACACAAATTAAGAATTTTCAGTAAGCATTTTATTTAATATTATAAAAATAAAAGGGAAAGTACTGCAAATTTCAATCATTTAAATTTTCATTCATCTTTTTCAATAATTATCAAAATTACGTTTGTTAAAGTTCAATTTAAAATATTTAATACAAATTGGTGTAAAATTTAAATTTTAGCAAAAGATTGATCAAAAATTTATTTGATTTTTAATTTTAACCTTAGTCTGTCTTCACTCCACTGGAAGTAATGTCTGCAATATTCGCGGCGGCAATTCATGATGTTGACCATCCTGGACTTACAAACCAGTTCCTCATTAATACTAGCTCAGGTAGGTTCCTGGTATCCTGGTTATCATTAATACTAGCTCAGGTAGGTTCCTGGTATCCTGATTCCTCATTAATACTGGCTCAGGTAGGTTCCTGGTATCCTGGTTTCTCATTAATACTAGCTCAGGTAGGTTCCTGGTATCCTGGTTCCTCATTAATACTAGCTCAGGGAGGTTCCTGGTATCCTGGTTCCTCATTAATACTAACTCAGGTAGGTTCCTAATATCCTGGTTCCTCATTAATACTAGCTCAGGTAGGTTCCTGGTATCCTGGTTCCTCATTAATACTAGCTCAGGTAGGTTCCTGGTATCCTGGTTCCTAATTAATACTAGCTCAGGTAGGTTCCTAATATCTTGGTTCCTTATTAATACTAGCTCAGGTAGGTTCCTGGTATCCTGGTTCCTCATTAATACTAGCTCAGGTAGGTTTCTGGTATCCTGGATCCTCATTAATACCAGCTCAGGTAGATTCCTGGTATCATGGTTCCTCATTAATGCCAGCTCAGGGAGGTTCCTGGTTCCTCATTAATACTAGCTCAGGTAGGTTTCTTGTGTATTGGTTCCTCATTAATACTAGCTCAGGTAGGTTCCTAATATCCTGGTTCCTCATTAATATTTATAGCTCAGGTAGGTTCCTAATATCCTGGTTCCTCATCAATACTAGCTCAGGTAGGTTCCTAATATCCTGGTTAGTTTGCGCTGACATATAGAATTAGCGCTGATATAAAATGTTAAGAGCGTATTAGAGAACTAGTATTTACATGATTATATTTGTAGAGTTAGCGCTGATATATAATGTTGAGAGCGTATTAGAGAACTAGTATTTACATGATTATATTTGTAGAGTTAGCGCTGATGTATAATGATGAGAGTGTATTAGATGATTATATGTGTAGAGTTAGCGCTGATGTATAATTATGAGAGTGTATTAGAGAACTAGTATTTACATGATTATATGTGTAGAGTTAGCGCTGATGTATAATGATGAGAGCGTATTGGAGAACCATCATCTAGCTGTAGCATTCAAACTCCTCCAGAACCCAGACTGTGATATATTCATAAACCTCAACAAGAAACAGAGGCAAACTCTCAGAAAGATGGTCATAGACATGGTGAGTGAAACTTTAATTCCCACGAGAAAGAATTTCTGAACGTATTATTTTCCTGGTTTTAAATATTAAAATCACACAAATGTTTCATCTCTAACGTTACACAGCTCAAAATAGTTTTGGAGAAATATTCTTTTAAACTTGTTTTTCTGCAGGTTCTAGCCACTGACATGTCTAAACACATGAGCTTGTTAGCTGACCTTAAAACTATGGTGGAAACTAAAAAAGTTGCTGGAAGTGGAGTTCTTTTATTAGACAACTATACAGATAGAATACAGGTTGGTTAAAGTATAAGACAAGTACACCCCCCCCTGGTAGTGGAGTTCTTCTATTAGACAACTATACAGATAGAATACAGGTTGGTTAAAGTATAAGACAAGTACACCCCCCCCTAGTAGTGGAGTTCTCCTATTAGACAACTACACAGATAGAATACAGGTTGGTTAAAGTATAAGACAAGTACACCCCCCCCCCGTAGTGGAGTTCTCCTATTAGACAACTACACAGATAGAATACAGGTTGGTTAAAGTATAAGACAAGTAAATCTCGCCCCCTGGTAGTGGAGTTCTTCTATTAGACAACTATACAGATAGAATACAGGTTGGTTAAAGTATAAGACAAGTAAATCTCGCCCCCCCCCTTAAGAAGTTTTCTTTTTAAATTAAATATTTCCGAACAGTCCAAAATATAATTGCTTATTTTTTTATTTTCACATTGAACAAAAACCCCTCCCTATAATATGTGCTGGATATGAAACTGAAAAAAAAAATAAGTTTAATTAATTTCTGATAATGTAAATTTTCCAGGTTTTGCAGAATATGGTTCACTGTGCTGATCTATCCAACCCCACCAAACCCCTGGATTTATACAGACAGTGGTGTGATAGGATCATGGAGGAGTTCTTCCAGCAGGGAGATAAGGAGAGAGAGGCAGGGTTGGATATCTCTCCTATGTGTGATAGGTTCAATGCAACCATAGAGAAATCTCAGGTTAGGATAGGGTCAATGCAACCATAGAGAAATCGTTAGGATAGGTTCAATGCAACCATAGAAAAATCTCAGGTTAGGATAGGGTCAATGCAACCATAGAGAAATCTCAGGTTAGGATAGGGTCAATGCAACCATAGAAAAATCTCAGGTTATGATAGCTTATTTGCAGCCATATAGAAATCTCAGGTTAAGATAGGTTCAATGCAACCATATAGAATTCTTAGGTTAGTTTAGATTCAATGCAACCACAGAGAAATCTCAGATTAGGATAGGTTCAATGCAACCATAGAGAAATCTCAGGTAAGGGTAGGTTCAATGGAACCTTAGAAAACTCTCAGGTTAGGATAGGTTCAATGCAGCCATAGAGAATTCTCGGGTAAGGGTAGGTTCAATGCAACCTTAGAAAAATCTTAGGTTAGGATAGGTGTAATGCCATCATAGAGGATTCTTAGATTAGGATAGGTTCAATGCAACCTGCATAGAGAATTCTCAGGTCAGGATAGGTTCAATGCAACCATAGAGAATTCTAAGGTTAGGATAGATTCAATGCAACCACAGAGAATTCTCAGGTCAGGATATGTTCTATGTGACCATAGAGAAATCTTAGGATAGTCTAAATTCAATGTCGTTTTTTTACTGAAGATGAAATATAATTTTTCAGGTCGGATTCATCGACTACATTGTTCATCCCTTGTGGGAGACCTGGGCTGATCTAGTTCATCCTGATGCTCAGGATATCCTGGACGCTCTGGAGGATAACAGGGACTGGTATCAGTCACAGATGCCCGTCAGTCCATCCTCGTCCTCTAATGACCTCAGGGAGGAGGACGAAGGACGATGTGGGTCCCTTGAGGATTCCCCAGAGGAGGATGGAAAGTGTGTGAGGACGAGTGAGGAGGAGGGAGGAGAGGATGAGAATAGAACGGGATTAGTTCAGCTCCAGGTTACGCTTCAAGAAGAGGAGGAGGAGGAGGACCAGGACGAGGATGACGACGAACGGCACAATCGGGATGAAAACACAGGAATGTAGTTTCTTCGCCAAACCGGGCAATTGGGACAAAATTACATTTTACATGCACAAAGCGTACAAAGGTGTGAATAACCCGTACATATCGATTGAAAATGCAAGTCTAGAAGAATCTGACGCTAGGAACATTGTGATCTAAAATATAGTTTATAGAGTGGAGGAATATTAGAAAATAGTCACGCAGCGGCCAAAATAATCATTTATGTCCCCCAACGTTCTTTCTCAAGTCGTGTCAAAACCTGCAGTAAGAAGATACTGCAGGTAATACCTGAAATAAGAAGATAAGCTACTGTAGCAAAGAAGATTCTACTGTGTGATATGAAGATACTGCGTGATATGAAGATACTGCAGTAAGACAAGAAGAGACTGGCATCGGAGAAAAAAGAGATTACATAAGGAAAGATGCTGCAGTAAATTTAAAAAGAGTGTCTCCAGTATGAGAGAAAGAGACTGCAGTAAGAGAAGAAGATGCATCAGTAAGAAGATAAAGTCCTAACGTAAAAGTAGAGACTACTGAAAGAAAATGAAATAATGCAGTAAAAGAAAATACAAAATTGTGCTACCAGTATTACATACTGTACCAGTGTACATACTGCAGTTTGCTGAGTCAATCTTATACTGTACATAGTGTACAATGTACATACAAACATATAAATAACCAAAGGATTAAAACATGGAAGGGGACTCTACGGTTCCGTTCAGTTCCGATATTCATTGAAAATCCAGTGTTTATATATCCAGTTTCTGATATCCTGATATCCTGATATCCTGATGTCCTGATATCCTGATGTCCTGATATCCTGATGTCCTGATATTCCAGATTCTTCGTCCTTTCTCCTGTTATCCTTAATTTTTCGTTCTTTAGATTCTTCTGTCTTTCTCCTAAATATTCTCGATTCTTAGTCCTTGTCTTATGATTTTGTCCTTGTCTTATGATTTTGTCCTTGTCTTTTCTCCGAATATCCCTTGTCCTTGTCCTATCTCCGTATATCCCTCGTCCTTTTACTATCTCCTTATATCCCCTGTCCTAGTCCTATCTTCGTATATCCTTCGTCCTTGTCCTATCGTCTTATATCCCTCGTCCTTGTCCTATCTTTTTATATTCCTCGTCCTTGTCCTCCTCATATCCTCTGTCCTTTTCCTTTCTCCTCATATACCTCTTCCTATCCACAAAGAAAAGAATGGAATTGCTTATTTTAATTATAGAAATATCAAATCTTATTAAAATGTTCAAAAAATATCTATTTATTGTTGTAATTAATTCTTAACTAAGAACTTATACAGAAATTAGCTGAATATTTTTCTAATCAATGCAAACCTGTACAAACAATTACACGCTTGTACAACGTGTATGGTACATGCTCCAGTGCTGTACAACTGCTAATTGATACAGGGAGGGTGTGAATGTATGTTAAATACTACAGGGTGACATTTTATTACTAATTTTACACGTGATATGTAAACCTGATTGTTAAAACTCTAGAATTAGGAGATTTAAATTAAGTAAATTTGTTTTTTGTTTTCTTTTACACTGTAAACACTGCACTATACTGAGCAATTGTCTAAATGTTCTGAACTGTGCTAAAGCGTACTGTAATGAGCCATAATGTAATGTACTGTGTTTGTACTGCACTGTACTTTTATCTTTCGTGACAACTGCACAATTGATATTTTTAATATAAGCATATTTTTTTGTAAATAGATGTAGAAATAGTAATTGTCAAACTAGCTGCAAAATCTAAATCTAGTAGATTCATTTCAAACTAGTAGATTTCTACTTGGTATTTTTCTAGCAATTAGATTTCAAGCTAGTAGATTTCATGCTATAGTAGATATCATGCTAGTAGATTTCATGCTACAAGGGCGTACACAAGTATAAATCTAGGGAGGGCAAACAATTTTTTAGCGCCCCCCTCTCTAGGAACTCCTAGGGGGGGGGGGCAAAACTTGAACTGTAAATTCAAAACATTTGGCTTCTTGGATATTTTAAAGGCACACATACAGTCCAATTACCTCCTTACAAGTACTATTTTATCTCTCCTTCAAACAAAACTAACATAAAAAAATAGCAAAATAATGTTTTTATGTTCTCCACTCTTTAGTTTCAGATTTGAAAAGCTTGATAGCTCTGAGTTTCTAGGGTTGGCTACGCCCCCCCCCCCTTTATAGGTCTGGGGGACACTGCCCCCTTGCCCCTCCCTGTTTACGCCCTTGATGCCAGTAGATTTGAGCTAGCAGTTTTCATGCTAGTATATTTCAAGCTAGTAGATTTCAAGCTAGTAGATTTCAGTCTAGAAGTTTTCAAACTAGTAGATTTCAAGCTAGTAGATTTCAAGCTAGTAGATTTCAAACCAGTTGATCTTAATTTTGCCTTTAAAGGGAGCTGGTCTTCTTTTTAAGTTTTTTTTAGTTTTTTTAGTTTTAGTTTTCAAAAATAGAAAATAAATCATTTTATTCTACCTTAGACTCTCGTCGACTCACACATATTTTATTCAAAAATAGTTCAAATATTTTCAATTATTGTAATAAATATGTCTGTTTAGTTTTTCTTGAAATATTTTATTGTTTTTTTATTATGTATAAACACGACAAATTTTTAGTACATCACCTTTTTTCATAAAATAATATTAAGATAAGAAAATGAGGCCAAATCTTAAAATTAAACCTCTCTGATTTCAATCTTTCTGAACTGGAAGATAAAAAAGGTTCTATTTATAATTTTACATAGAGAAGGGTTGTGTCTGAATTCTTCAATTTTCATTCAAAAATATTGAACTCAACAATCTAAACTGCTGAATAAAGATAATACTTTTCTATGTAACCTTTTATGATGATACACTCTGTATAAACACACAAAAATCATGTTTTAGAAAACGATAGTTTATAAATTAAAATTTTGTGATGACCCTTTAGACCCCCCCCCCTCTTCATTGTTAGACCCCCCCCCCCTCTTCATTGTTAGAAGTTTTCAAAGGGCCTGTGTAACCCCCTTTGCTTACGATTAAATGGCTGTTACCCTTAAAATATTCGTGAAAATTAACGATTTGTGTTAAATACTTAAATATATAAATCTCAAATTTGTGGGATTAAAATTTTATATATTTTCCAAATATATTTGCCTTCACGTTAACATATATATATGAAGAATATACGAAATATAATATTATACATGTCAGTGTAATACTATAGATTTGTAATAACTATTATTATCATTATATGTTTATTTCTTACACAAAACCATATTATATTGGTAAAAAACATGAAAATAAAAATATGTGGATATGTACATTAGTTTTCTTTTACACCATTTTAGCAATTACAAAAAAGAGATAAAGACGGGATTACAATTATGTATACAGGGTTACCCACAAAGGATGAGACTGTAAAGACGACCAAAAACTCTTGAAACTTTATGTATTCTGCCTTAAATATAGTAACCTAATGCTAATGGCTTATTAAAGGATTTGGCAAAGAAACCAATAAGATTACAGTTGCAGGGAATCGTAATGATAAGGATTGGAAACAAACAGTATAAATATCTTACAATCGTCTCTGAAGTCACATCCTTTGTTTATATCTTTTTTAAACATAACTCCTTTCATAGAACAGCTTTCATTGAAGAGGTATTGAGAAGAACAAAATGTGTAGAATTTTCTAATTTGTAACCATGGAGTATGGAATAGAAGGGAGAAACAATTACCATATGGCAGGGTGGGCCGCGTCAGTTGTATCTCCTTTGTATTCCACACTCCTTGTTTGAAACCAAAACTAAAACTACGAGGACACAAAGTCGTACATCGTGAATCGTCGTCGTTATTTAATAATTTAAAAAAACCGATTCTGAAAACGTACCCACCCAAATTCATGATTTTGAACGTCGACTATGCACTCAAATTCAGTAATTATACATCGTGGAAACGTTTAATATGTCTTAAATGAATGAAGAATTAGTCCACAACACTGCATACTCAGTTTAGCTAACTTACATTAGTCGGTCTGTCCCTAATTAATAAGAACCAATGAACAATCATTTTAATTTAAAAACATTTATCCCCTCATCAAATAGAAAAGAACTGAACGAATTTAGTCTTATTCTCACAAACTTAAATTTTCAAATCCCAATATCTTTAAAACCTAATTGTGTAAACACTTATATATTTGAAACTTAGATTATTCTTATTTTAAAATATCTACAGGTTCTGCGACAGTGGCTTGCAAAGAAATAGGAATAAAATACTCAGATTTAATACTTTCTATTTCAGCGTACTTTTCCAAAAGGAACAAGCGAAAAGAAAAGTTCAGATTTTTTAGCGCTGAATTATAATCTTCAGGAAAACTTTTTGAAGATTATTGTTGGACATTCAGACATTGTTTTGCTTGGCCCTGCAGACATATATGTATCTAATGAACTTCTCTTTCCATGGTAATTTGATTATACAAGCACTTTACATTTTCGAGAGACATTCTGAATTAAATCTGATTGGAAAATGAAGGTTTAAACTTGATACTTTTTGTTTTATGGGAAATTATTCTCTAAGGTCGGGTTTTGCATTGAAACTATACTGGAACTGGGTTTTTGGCACAAACTCAAGCTTTTCAAGCTTAAATTATTTAATCTGAAAGAATACATAGTTTAAAATATATAAGGTCTGCGACTTTGGGTTGCAAAGAGATAGGGATTTAAAATCTGAGTTAATAGCAAAAACTCAGTTCCGGTACTTTTTTATCATGTCTCAAGTTTTTTTTAGTAATTCAAAATACAATTTTAATTTCTCTTACTCGCGTGTTTGTAAAACTTTAATCCTTCATTTTATTCTGAAATAGTAAAAAACAAGAATTTGATTTTTAAACCGAAGAAAAGTTACATTATACAAGACGACATTTGAAGGTCGTCTATCCTTCTACACAGATTCATTTTAAATAATTCTAGAATTGTTTGATTGATTGATTGGCATTAAGAGGAAATAATAAAAATCGCAAATCCGTACACGTAGTTCCGCATAAAATGAACTTAAATTCCCTTTTTCAGATTTTCGTGCGATGGTTTTTAAATCATTATTTCTTTATTGGAATACACCTTCATATTTTCAGGAGTTCTAGTTCGTTCGAATATTCTTGATTCGTAGTAATTTCAATTGACACTCCTTTAATAAGGACCATACCCGATTAACAACGGTACCCTTTCTCAGATAAATAAACAGTATAAATAGTAAGATGACAAAATAATTGTAACGGGTATTTCAGGTCATTTATTTAGTTCGGATTTTCGTTGTAACTTTCATCCAATGATGCTTTTATTCCATATCAGGGAGTACAGGATGAACACAGGGTCGGAATAGAGGAGGGAGGCGGACCCCTCCTAACAGGAGCTCAGGTGCAGGCCCGTGCCCCCCCCCCCCTTCTAGTCCGCCCCTATATTCATCCTGTGCTCCCTCTGACCCCTATTTAAAGCATGGTTAAGATATCTTCCATTCTCTACTACTGATTACAACTCATGGTTCATCTTATGCTCCATTTTCCGATTTTAACCCTCAAAAATGTCCGTAAGTTTTTAATGTTTCAGTATCAACAAACTCGGAAACTGACGTAAAAAAGATAAAAAGAAACATTAAATAATTCATAATTGCAATTTTACAAATATTTAAATCTAAAAACTCTTTATCTTTAAATAAAAAGTTGTTATCTGTAATCTGTTTGTTTGCTTGTCCGATCGTAACTCAGGAACCCTTGGACCGATTTGCCTCAAATTTTGATTGGTGTACTCGGGAGACCCATTGGAATGTTCTTAGCTTGGTTTTGAGAGTCTGAGTTGAGTGCCACTCAATGAGCGGGTCGAATTTTATATCGATAATTTAGGTTTCCGGTAAAAATCGTAATAGTGATACTGGGTTCCCAAGCTAGTTATCTATTTATATAAAGTTGTAATCACTGTTTGTTTGTTTGTCGGATCATATCTCAGGAACCCCTGGACCGATTTGCCTCAAATTTGGATTGGGGAACTCGGGAGATTCTAAGTTAAGTGGGTCGATTTTGTTAGACAAAAATAGCTAAAATCGTAATTTAAGAAAAAAAGCGCGACTAAACGGCGGGAGTTCGAATGTTACCAAACTAGTTTAGAGCTTAAGAAAGAACATTCAAAAGCAAGAAAAATAAAATTCCATTGTATATCTGAAGTTGTATCGTGATCTTATTTTAATATTTTAACAAATTGTTTTTTTTTAAATTAATATATTTACAGGGTATAAAAACACAAACAAATACACATTACACACACAGACTGTAAATTTGAATTGTCACTATAAATTGACGAGATGTAGAATTTAGAATAAATATTCTAGATTATTTATATTTGGTTAGGTTGAGAGGAATATCCTCTCTAGATGTATCCTGCAGCTCTACTAGCGCTGCTGCTACTAGCAGGGTCGGAGAATTTGTGTCGCGGTGGCTCGGGGAGCTTGTTCGGTGACTCGGAGAGCTTGTATCACGGCTCGGAGAGGAGAACTCGTATGAGAGTGGAGATGATATTTCTCGTTTGACTGGGGATGAGAAATCTTCTTCATGCCAGTGGATTGGTTTAGCCAGCTCTTCTCGTTCTATCAATTTCTCTTCTTGAAACCTCTCCTGGAACCTTTTCTTCAGCTTTAACGCCGGACTACCGTGGATCGGAGACGAGAGACATTTCTCCGTTGAGATCGGAGTTCGGAGCAGGAACTCGGAAGAAAATGCCGGAGATGTGGGAAGACCGAAATTGAATGGAAGGTCGAGATCAGAGTGAAACTGGTCGGATCTACAGTTCTTGGTTGGAGTAATATCTCCGAGGGTTCGTCGGATCCCTTTCAGAGGAGAATGGTGCTCCAGGATTGGCTTCTTAGCCGGTGAGAGGATTGATCTTCTCTCCGACATGAATCCTTGTGTGTAATATTGCGGTTCCTCATGTAGCTGCGTGAACGGGACGGATATCCTTCTCTCCAACCTTTCTCCAGCTCGCTGTAGAGCCTGGTTTAGTGTTTGCTGAGCTACCACTGTTCTCTGGGTTGAGGAGGGTTGGTTCTCCTGATCAATACATTGCTCCATCTCCTCCGCCAACCCTCTCTTAGATCTATTTCTCTTAAACTCTGGGATCTCCTCGCTTAGGTTCTCCTCCTGGTATCCAGGGGTTTCGTTAGGATTAAACTTCCCTGGAGTTTTATCCTCCTTCTCCCTTTTATACTTCTCCAACCAGGCCAGTACCTGGTTCTTATCCTCACCAGATGATATATTAGGCTGGAGAATAATCTCAGCAGATCTTTGAGGTTTAGCGAACGGATGGTCCGGACACTGTCTATTAGCGTGAGTATATCTGTTGTTACAACCAGGATGAGAGCAGACGAATGGTTTCTCCCCCGCGTGGAGTCTTTGATGAGTTTTCAGTTGTCCCGATTGTGTGAATGCCCTGTAAAAAATAATAAGTTAAACAATGGAACAACAAAACATTTAGTTAATTATATTCTATAATAGATCCGATTTTCAATTAACAACAATATTTCATTTATGTTAGTTATTAATGTATTGGAACCCATACTTAATGAAATATGTACACTATTAAATGCACTATGTACTTGAAACCCCTATTCAAAAAACTATCTACTTCACACGCCCATTAAATTACCTTAGTAGTACCTCTATTAATTCAACTAGGTACTTGGTGCCTGTTTTAAATTACCTATGTACTTAGTAATTATATTAATATATCTAAGTATTTGGCTCTCCTAATACATGAACTATGTACTTAGTACATCTATTACTTCATCTAGGTATTTAGCACCCATATTATATGAACTATGTAATTAGTACCTTTATCATATGAACTATGTACTTAGTACCTTTATCATAAGAACTATGTACTTGGTACCTCTATTATATGAACTATGTACTTGGTACCTCTTTTATATGAACTATGTAATTAGTACCTTTATCATATGAACTACGTACTTCTTATATGAACTATGTAATTAGTACCTTTATTATATGAACTACGTACTTCTTACCTCTATTATATGAACTATGTATTTGGTACCTCTACTATATGAACTATGTACTTGGTACCTCTATTATATGAACTATGTAATTAGTACCTCTATTATATGAACTATGTACTTGGTTCCTCTATTACATGAACTATGTACTTGGTACCTCTATTATATGAACTATGTATTTGGTACCTCTATTATATGAACTATGTACTTGGTACCTCTAT